ATATATATATATATATATATCCTTTTCGTATGAATAATCGAATCTATTTTGAAGTATAAAAAGTTTATGTAGTATATATGTGAAACTTGTATATTTAACTCTTAGAAGGCAATATATACCTTTTAAAACATTCTAAATATTGAATATCATTCTTACCTAAAAAGATCAAAAATATATATATATTTTTATTCGTGTAAAGTTAAATATGTTTAGTCAAACATGCTAAGGACTAAACAAGAATCGGTTTAGAGACCAAAATATTACTAAGTAATATATATATTTTTATATTAAATATCAATTAACTAAAAAATATTCTATTTATTCTTAATAAAATGATTTATAATTACAGAAATTTCTATTATTTTTTATAATTAAACGAAGAAAATATTATTACTAAAATGAGAAAAGAAGTGTTTACATTACTTTTTTGTGCAGCTTTATAGTATACATATAAGATCAAAGATAGGTCATAGTATATTTAACCGTTTGAGCAGTAAAATGAATTATTTTAGTTATAAAACAAATCTTTATTTGGAAGAAAAAAGAAACTATTGGATATCATCTCTATAAATATCACCAAAAGATACGTTGCGATGGATATGACTATTTCTTTCATAATTATGAATCACAGATTTGAGCCTTAAAAATAGAAAAATCCTTGATAGAAAATGATTCCTCTCAAATAGAATCCTCCTCCGTATAAATTGTAATATCAATATCTGAATGGGAAATTAAAAAATATATTTACAAATTATGTGGATTTTTTTATTTCTTTCAAAAGATTTATCCACTTCAAATAACACCAATCAAATGATCTATTAGTGATGAAAAAAAGTTAAATATGTGGATGAACTCTTTCCTTACCTACTCCCGCGCCACAATCCCTTTGAAATCATCAAAACTTAATAATACATAAACGGCTCTTTAAATTGATATTCATACATATTTTTTGATTTTGTACGTGAACAAATAAATACTTAAATTTGTATATAATTATATAAGTAGGTATGCGTATTCTACATAGCATAATACTGATCAATTTGAATATATCGCATCATAACAAATATCGAACATTAATAAATACTCCATATTTCAATATTATTAACTATTGTTGTTCGATTTCTTTATTAATACAACAACAAGCTCAACCATCAATAAAAAATTATCAACATAACAATTTCGAACATTACTAATACAACATATTCAATATTATTATTATTATTATTATATTTACGTTACCAAACATCCCAAAAAATTGTGTGTAATAGAAACGGTAGGATTTTTTTTATGACTGTGACTTACGAGTCAACTTTCGTGCACTTCAATCAATTTCAAGAGACACCAGCAATAGGAATCAGGTAATCCTATCCAACAAGGCTAAAACAAATAGAAAAAATCACCTAGTGTTTTTATTTTTTTTATCTTTGTTAAATTTTGAACCTAAAACGAGTTCTCAATCTCTTCATTAATCACCAGGCCACGCTCCGGGAAAATGTGGATTTTACTTTAATAAAGTGAGCATAATTGCAATTTGCAAAAGTTTGTATTTTTTTCCCAAAAAAACAAAAAAAAAAAGATACCCTTTATATAATGTTCCCCACTAGAAATTTTACCATTTCATCAACTTGTAAAACCTATCTCTAAACCCCCACAAATCTTTTTCCTCCTTTGAGCCTCCATTAATGGACGTTGAAGAATTCCTTAACCTCTTTGATTTTCACTGGTTTGAATATCAAATTCTCAAACCCAAACGCCCCTTTTCTACAACAACCCCAATTCTTGAAGAAACCCCAAAACTTTCAAAAACTCCAACTTTTATGGTCAGATCTCAAAGTGACCTCTGTTTAAGCTCTAAAGATTACATCTTTGATTCTATTTCCGAGAAATCACAATCCCCATCTCCAAAATCTGTTCTTGAAGCTAAACTTCAGCCAATTCTGTCTGGTAAAGAATACAATGAACTCAAATCTTCCCCTGAAGCAGCTGTTAAAAACAGAGCAAATTGCAGAAGCAGAAAGAAGAAGAGTAATAACAGTAAAAGTTTATCAGAGCTGGAATTTGAAGAGCTAAAAGGGTTTATGGATCTTGGATTTGAGTTTTCAGAGAAAGATAAAGATTCAAATTTGGTTTCAATAATTCCTGGATTGAAAAGACTAGGAATGGAAAATGAAAGGGGTTTTGATGAAAATGATGAAAGTGGAGTTTCTAGGCCTCATCTTTCAGAAGCATGGGGTGTTTGGGAAGAACAGAAAAAAATGGAGGACTGGAAAAAAAATTCATTGAAAATTTGGAAGTTTGATTCAGATTTTGGAAATGAAATGGAAATTAAACATCAGTTGAAGTTTTGGGCTCATACTGTTGCTTCTACTGTTAGATAGTAACTCGGGTTCGAGTCCTGGATACGAAAAAAAGTTTTGGTTGAGTATTGCCCTCAGCGCCATTTGAATTTAATTAGAACCCCAGTACGAGCATCGAACTCCGAGTTTGAAACCAAGAAATATCTTCAAGAAGATGAAATGGGATTACCTTTTCTTTTATTGATCTAACTGTAAATATTTGTTTTGGCTAAATTTTTTCCAATTAATCATAGAAAGCTTTTTATTTACTAGATTGATTTGTTATCTTACATTGAAATCATCGATGATGATATAATTCGAGAGATAAATTCTAAAATTTATTGAGACAAAGCGAATAATGTATGTCATATGTTTAAATCATGACAAGTGCGGTTTTAAGTAAAAGTAAATTAACATATATGAAAGTGACTTTGATTTCCAACTAACTGGATAATGATTGGAGTAAATTAACAATAGTGGTGCCAAATTACTGTTTATATACACTAACGATATTTGAAGATAAAAAAGCTTCACCAAACATAGGCATAAAAAATGATAAGGATCATAGTGTAAAAAAGAATATACTTTGATTTTTGATGACCTACGAATAAAAGTCTGTATATATAACTTAAATTCCGTTCAAAAATCGGAAGAAGAGGCTTTAACACATTATGATAACAAAAATATAGTTATAACCCCCAACCCCAACCCCCCACACACTAAGAAACACCAAAAGAGAGTATGAATTATGATGACAATATTGAAAATAGTTGCCAAACATCAACTAGGAGTATACAATAGTCAACTTACTATTGTTTACATGGAGAATAATAGAATATGATGTAACAAACATTGATTAAAATAATGGTCATGCAAAGATTATGGATGAATTTTTCTTATAATATATGCTTACCAAAGTCAATAACATAATAACAGTGAAGAGAAATTAGATTTGAAAAACATGTGAAAAAAATATAGAATAATCAGAAGGTACATATATTATTCTCACCATTACCAACTTTTGTTTTCTATGCAAAAAAGTCAAGTTCATACAGAAACTAAGGCTTTTTTTAAGGTATAGCAGAAGAGTAGGGCTGAAAATATACAATCAATTATCATGTCAAATGTGCATCAATGTACTTTTCATGCTAGAGTTGTGGTTTTCGAAACCCACGCCTCTGCGCGTGAAACAAGAGGATCAATGCAAATACGCCTCCAAACTCCTAATCATGACTCTGCCTCTGCTGGTGAAACAAGAGGATCGATGCAAATACGGGGTTATGGAGAACACTATTAGCTTACTGCAGACTAATATAAGTACTTATTCATGACACAAATGAATTTCCTTTGTACTATTCAGTTATCAAATCCCAGAGGTAACAGATAATATTGTGTTGTCACAACTCACAGGGGATTTTTCCCACTTCTGGTGCTAAAATGGAAGATCTCATTCAAATGCACTCTTAGGTAATCAGATAGAACCATCAATCATGAATATCAAACGACGAATACACAGGTTGAATAATTGTTTTCTCCATACAACTTTTATTGAATTATGAATGATCTTACATACAGATAGATGTACCCGAGGTCAATTTTAGCTATATAATTACATCGATATGGGGAGGAACCATGACTATCATGAATATACTATATCTAAATGTACCATATTTTACAAAGGTGAGATGCATGTACCGTGCACTGCAAAGTCGGTTAGGAAGTATATGTCAATTGTCATTAGAGATGGCCTCGGGAAGTTTAAAGGTAGGAGGTTTGTCAGCACCTCTCCTTGAGTACTCTCTCCATTTGCGAGCAGCTGCTGCAGCTCGTTTTGATCTATCTTCCACTTCCTCCTCTGTAGAAACCAAATCAAATGAGGTTACATGGATAATATGCATTAGCAAGTTTATCTAGGCTTGTTTTTCCTACCTGTCTTTGTGTAGTCTTTACGATCGCCCCATAGGTTATCCCAGTATGATTCAGTTTTCTCAGAATTTTTCTTCTTCATCATTCTGACTTTAGCTTGTTCCTGCAGTAACTTACATGTCATACAAGTTTTCTATCTAATCACAATGCTACAACTATCAATAGGAGGAAAATCGAGAAAAATATCCCGTATAGAAACAACTTTATGTATCCCTCTACCGTTAACTAACAATATCCGAAGCAATATCTAATGTCATAGAAATTTCTCTGCTCAAAAGGAGACAAAAATGAACAACAAATAGAGGAAACTGCAGCACCATGCGTAAATTTACTAGAACTTAAAACTTCTTAAGGCATGAAAAGCCAATTGAAATCTGGAACATGCATAAAAGTAAACCATTTGCAACACGTACCATGTGCGCTATGGCATATATAAAATACCACTGTCCTAAATATTGTCAACAAGCGCTTCAATTTGCACATAAGCAAAACAAGCTAACTGAACGATGAATATAATAAGGTTGGTAGACGTATATTTAAACACTTGAGCCAAGAGTTCATACCAGAACTTTAGATTGTCGTTTTTCCCACCGCGTGCTCGCCTGCATCATAAAGTATTTTGACATAATTCAAATGCGCGAAGGGAATTGGAGAAGAGAAAATCATTAGCTGAACTTTATATGCAAAGAGCTTCACTATCAGAACATTTCTTAAAAATAATGACTTGCTAATTCAGCAACTGTACAAATCATTCCGAGAGTGTGCACAAACCATCATTTCACTTAGAAGTCCAAATGAAGAAACAGAACTAATGGTGGTCTCGAAAAAATAAAATAACAGAATAGTTGTAGATAACATGTGGAACACTGTAAGCTACAACAAAATTATGGACATCTCAAGGACAAAATATCATGATAACATCAACTAGACATTAAACTCATACGGACAAAAGAGACAAAAAAAATGGAATTAGGGTTTACCATTCTGAATACATCCATGGCTCCACTGCCCATTCCTGATAGCATCAAGGCAACCTATTGACACATGAAATACACACGTTATACTCAATACCAAGCTAAAAAGAAGATCAAACAAGATTAAGGAATTTGTGAAGTTTAGCTAGCAGCATATGTTTTTTAGTTGATAGAGTCATTTGAAACTTGTTAACTCAAACGGAAGCAAATATTTGGATAATCTAGATGGATCACAGAATACCATCACCAAACACGACAAGAAGCAAGTAGAATCTATATTTAATTGAAACCAGTACATCAAAGCATTTCTCCACAGCTAGTGAATGTGTTATCCTTCCTGTAGATGGAAGATCATATTCCATTTATTAGGCCACCAACTTAGAACTCTACAAAGGAGTAGTATGTCGCATACTCTTCTAACCCTTGGCCTGCCTGATTAGTTAAAGGCAGTTTACTACACTTTAAGGAGAATGCAAGGTATTTTGAATACTACAATTTTTTTGGTCACATAGAGTTGAGTGAGATGATCTCTTATTTCCTGTTTATAGAACTGTTAGGTGATTAGGTAAGTTCAGTCAGCAAAAAGCATAAATTTAGGTTATTGATATCCAAAGTACTACATGGATTATTAGGTTATTGATATCCATAGTATTACATGGATGTATTAGGTTATTGGCATCCGGAATATTCAGCAAAAAGCATAAACTTAGAATTGATCTGGCAACAACTCGTGAAGTCGTCGAGCATTTTAGAGCAGCAAAAAGGAATATAAACTGCATAAGTGATGGACATAAATCACCAAGATAAATGAGAAATGTAGCTCACGTTTACTCTTTCTATTCTTCGCATTTCATCCTCAAGCAAAGACAGCTGTGCAGCAGAAGTCCAATGTATGCAATCCACTGGGCTGCAAAGAGAAAGAACTAGTGATTTGACTAGCTATATCATTTGATCCTACAAATCCCGTGAGATGGATATAGCAGAAGTACAAGTTAAAACCAAATAACCAAATTGAAACGGAGGGAGTATGTAATTTTTTTCCAAGATGAACTCAAAGTCATCAGATGATAAGACATAAATCAAGTTTCCTTTCCTCTCCTTTTGGAAATGTAGCCTTAATACAGCATAAGAATCTTTGTTAAAACTAATAATGCAGGTATTCCCAGAAGTTGAAGCAAACTTACTTACATCAGTCTATCACAAATGACATTCTTCCATACTCTGCTAAAGTTCAAGCTTATTTGACCAGCTTATAACTACTTATGGGAGGGGAAATAGCTAGAATAAACATTGCGGTCTAAAGGAGATACACAGTTGAACTATACTCTAGTGACTCAAGTCTCAAATTGTTTTTTAGTCACACTTAGTGTGTGTCATAAGCATCTGATAGAGCAAGAATATGATAGTTGAAAGATCTCGTAGCAGCATGATAAAACAAATGAACGAAACATGATAACATAGGAAATGCATCACATATATAAGCTCCGGCATTGCACTTCAATTGCCAATCTGCAATATCATTTTTGCAAATTTATTTGCTATATATCGTGGTTTTACCACATTGAGAGACCAGAAAGGAAATAATGACTATATGTCTTTTCTTACTTGAAACTTTTCAGTGCAAAATTATATTAGGTCATTACCAGAACGGATATATAAGTTCGAAACAAGCAACTACATCTATGAAGCAAGAACCTACCAGCTATCTATAGCTTGTTGAATTAAATCAGGGTGTCCACATTGATCGTAAACTCTAGCTCTTCCAAAGTCTTCCTCAATCCCAAACACTTTTGAGCAAACATTGGCACAATTTTTGCAGCCTGTGAAGGAGAGAGATGTGTTCTAAATCATATTTTTTCAAGAATGAGCTGCAATGTTTTTTTATTTCAATGAATTGACAAAACATCCGTAACATAGTTCAACAAATTTCGGAAAAAAATTAGAACTGGAAGTACAATGCTTTGCACTTAGACTATACAAAAGCTATGAACTTCTTTATATATACTTTAAGCATTCATACACATTGTGACGTGAAACATTCTCGCTTTCTAGCCTTGTAAAAAAGCATGATTTGGTGAACACAAATGAGTTGGAGGTGATCAGATGACAACTAGCTTCTTTAATTAGTACAAACACGGCCTTTAAGAATTCAGCATCAGGAAAAAGGAAACTGAAACTATGGAAGATGTGTGTTTCAAAATATAGTTAACCAACAAGTTAACTAATAGATTATGATTAACTATCGACATATTTTAACTGGAAGTACAAAAAGGACAGCTACTTGAAAAAGATATGAAGTGGAACAAAAAAAGATTAACAAACAAATAAAATGTGAGACTATAATACCTATGCAGCTAAACTCGTCAACAAATACATGATCTTTCGGCGATGAATCGCTCAGGAAAGGGTTAATTGCTGTGGCTGTGTACCCATGGATCTCATCATAAACTCTCCTTTGCACTGGATCACTAAGAATCTACAGTATTATAATGATTAGAAATTGAAGTTCCAGAAAAAACACATGGATTGTCAAATTGTGAAGCACCTACCTCATAGACCTCATTGATAAACATGCAAAAATTTGTGGTCTCGGGATCATCACCACTCAAATCTGGATGGCAAGCTTTCATGCAACTATAGTATGCCTTCTTTATTTGAGCAGGTGTAGCATCAGGAAGCTAGCAACATAATGGACATTATAAGTTAACGAGGTATCCTTTAGCATGACCAAAAAAACACAGAAAAGGAAACAGACAAGAGAAAAACAAAACATACAAAATTATGCTAGAAATGTGCATTTTCATGTCCTGCACCGGGCGGATTTAAGTGTGATCTAGGGGTTTACATAAATCTAATAATACACTAAATATCTGTAAATATTTTATCATGAAATCAATTGTTATTATATGTTAACTTGAGGTTATTATAGGATCTCATAAACTTTAAATCCTAGATCCGCCTCTAGATTCCTGCAAATCGAGCTTCTTGAATCTTGATAAAGTACAAACAACTGATATTTTTTTGTTACTATAAACTCATGGTGTATCTTCCTTAATAATATTAATGATGCTTGGTAGCTGATTAAAATTATGCACGTATTAATTATTCCATCTTCTCCCCGCATAAGATTATTACCAATTCCCTCATAACTTATACATGTATTAGTTATGCGAGTTTCTAAATTGCAAGCCTTGCATCATATCAATTTTCACATGAATAACTTACTTACTAACAAGCTACCGAACATTATACAACTTACACAAAAATATCATATCATTTTTTACATGAATAATTTACTTCCAAACTAGCTACCGAACATTATACAACTTACACAAAAATATCGTATCATTTTTTACGTGAATAACTTACTTCCTAACTAGCTACATAACATTATACAACTTACACAAAAATATCATATTATTTTTTACGTGAATAACTTACTTCCTAACTATCTACCGAACATTATACAACTTACACAAAAATTACTACATAAATGAATTACCTCTTTACTGAGAAATTCATTGCAAGTAATCACAAAAACAGAAACTACAACATGAAAAGCAAAAAAACAGCTTCAAATGACCTTACCCCATACACCAAGCAGCAATAAAAATTTGATCTTTGACAAGTAAAATGCAAAAAAAAAAAAAAAAGTTGTAAATTACCAAACCCAAAACAGCATAAAAATCATCAGCAATTTCCTCAGATGCAGCAGCAGAATCTTGATAAGCAACTTTAATCCTCCCTAATCCTCCTCTCTTCTTTCCAAAAACACCCATTGAGCTAAAATTATTACCCAAAATTGGAACTTTACTTCTTGTATAGAAACACTGAACTGTGTTCTGTAATTTTAGTGAATCTGTACAAACAGGTGACAACAATTGAGCCATTTTTTTTTACAGAAAAATCAAGAACTGACCAAATAATGGATCAAAATAAAAACTGAAATAGTGGATTTGGGATATTTTTATGTGAAATTAAAAGAATATATGAGGAGGGAAAATTTTGTTTTTTTTTTGTAAAATAAAAATAATTAGTAAAATTGATTATATGGCAATGTGTGAACCATTTATTTTGCAAGAATCTATAGGGACCTTGGCCCCTTGTGAGAAAGAATGAATCTTTGTGCAGTTTGGCGTATGATGGAACGTGAAATTGTAAGCAAAGACACGTGGAGGATTTTACTTGCACGCTTCATCTCTAATTTCTTTGTCCAAAATTAGTTTTTATCTTGAGAAAAAATACTTTTAAACTACGTAAGAGGAATAAAAATGTCATTCGTTTATAGTTTGACTTAATAATGTTTTTATTGTTAATATTTTGATTCAAAAATATCCTTAAATTATTCGAAAGAAACAAAAATATCTCCCTATTTGTAGTTTGATCTAAAAATATCCTTACTGTTATTTAATAGGTCCAAAAAGTTTATTTTCTAAATATATATTATTATTTTATTTTTGACACTTTTTTTTTCAATTAATGTTTTTTAAAAAAATTTGTAAATGTTCATCTTACTTTAATTCAGAAAAAAATAAAAAAAATTATATCATCATTAATATTTTTATCGTTATATAAATATAAATTAATGATAAATATACTATGATTATATATATATATATATGAGATTTATTATCTACGAAAGAGCATATGAAATTATTCTATTTTAATTAATAAAATGAGATTAAGAAGAAAAATATTTTTTACAGTTTTATTTGTTAAAGTGATTTTAGAAGAAAGAAAACAGGAATATTGTTTCTTAATAATATTTTAATTAGGAAGAAGATATGTTTAAAAAAATAATAATATATTTATTCAGAAAAAGAACATTTTTGGCCCATTTTGTAAATAGGGGTATTTATGGATCAAAATATTGACTACGAGTGCATTTTTGAGCCAAATCATTAACGATAAAGGCATTTTGAGCCAAACTATGAAGGGAGAATATTTTTATTCCTTTCACATAGTTTAAGGGCATTTTTATCCCTTTTCCCTTTATCTTTTAATGACAGTAATCCATAGAGGAGCAGTGTCAGACCACCTAACGCCATTTGGCAGTTCTCGTGTCATCACAATGGCATAACATCGAAAGAGTGTTCGAATATATTTCTAATCAGATCTTTAGATAGCATCCTGCTCCTAGTCGAAGTTCATTCAAACCCTATTTGACGAAAAATTATATGATTAATGACAAGTATATACTAATATATTTTTTTATTTAAATAAGAATTATAAGTATCTTTTTAATACTATTTCATTGTTCATTTTGTACTTTGCATGCCTTTAAAATATTATTATTAATACGAAATATTTTATCAGAATATCTATATTAATTGACGTTAGTATATTTATTAAATATTGAAAATAGATTATTAATATTAAAAGTATAATAAAAAACTTATTAATTTTATATGCTAAAAGTGATAGATAAAAGTATAAAAATATTTTTATTCATATAACAATAATAAATAATATAAGTAAATATAAATGATGGGAGCATCATTTTATAATTATGTTATTAATGTATTTCTAAAATTGGTTACAAATATTGTAACCAATGTCTTAAAAGATTTTAGGGGGGGCTACTTTAGAAATATTCAGAACTTAAAAGGGGAAGGGAGAGAATTTAGAAACTTGAAGGGGGAAATATTGCAATGAAGCAACTATAAGGACCTATTATTGCAAAAATAATTAGGTGACTTGACTTTTGAGAACAAATTATGAGGGAAGCGCGCGTGATACAAACGCGTGGTGATTTCCCTCGGAATTCAAACCTCAGTCTGAAATCCCTAAAACCCCTTTCCACTTTTCTTCTTCCAAAAAATCGAACCAGATCGATCGAGCGATGTGGAATAATCGACGTCCGCCGGAAAATGGCTCCGGTAATGAGGAAGACAACTCCGATCAGGAGAAAACTATAGCAAAGGCAGCTGGTTTCGTGGTCGTTTCGGGAATCGCGATGAGCATTCTCAAAGCACTCAATCCATTCAACCATCAAAACATCAACAGTAAAACCAGTGAAGTAAAGGCAATAGTTTTCGAGTCAGCTCCATCTCAAACTCAGCCTCAAGTGCTTCAACAATGCCAACCAGAGCCTGAGCTCATAGTCAAGGTTGTGACTAACTTGCTTGTAATTGCATTTTGTACATTTACAAAAATTTGTGTTCAATCGTTTTAAGTTTTTCGCATTAATGTATTTGCTTTGTTTTCTCTTTAGAAACCAAATTGTTGCGTGGAGAAAAGAGAGAAGAAGGAAGTTTCACCAAATGTGATAGAGATTGAGCGGGGAGACACTCTTTGGGGACTCTCTAGAAAATATGGGGTATGCATTCGCATTGCTATTAATTTGACTTGATACTGAGTTTAAGAAATAAGAACTTTTTTAAAAAATCTTTCTTTTATACTGACTAAAAAGTAAAAGGGACTGTATAAATTGAGACAGATTGAGTATAAAATTATGAATGATACCATTGATATTTGGTAAGTTTAAAAATAATACTTTTCAAATTATTTGATTAGTAAAAATGAGACGTTTATATCAGGAAATCAATGTCCAATTCCTTAGATGTTTTGATCTTTACACTGGAAACTCAATATTCTTTTCTGGACAAATGATGTATCTTGTTGAATATTTGGTTTATCAGTACCCATGAAAAAAATATATCAGGAGGAAGTTTCTTCTTTTACACATTTATTGGCCTGGTGATAATTTGAATGTATGATTGGATTTCATTAGGTGTCAATCGAGGAAATTAAGGACGCTAACGGGCTTGAAGGGGACACCATCTATGCTGGGAAGAAACTTGTAATACCCTAACGTGCTCAATCTTGTTGATTCTTGTTGTTGTATTGTTGGTTATCCTGTGAGGTTTGTATTGTTTTTTTCGTTGAACTATTGGGTATGTTGTATTAGGGGAGAGATTTTGTAGTTTGAAACGAACGGTATGGCTGGTACGAGAGATAGGGATGTGAGATTGGTTTGAGCTAATGTAAAATGGAAAATTTTAGCTGCTATGATGAACTTGTATCTCGTCTCGCAATATTCTATCATGTAGAAGAAATGATGATTCTCCAAATTCTCTATCGGTTAGTTGTCCTTTATCATGAGTATGATTCTAATTCTCTTTGTTTAATTGCGTCTTCCATGGAGTTATATTAGGTAGCAAATCAATCTTCCAATTTCATTTCTGTTGCAGAAGTAAGGGAAATGTTGAAAGCAACAAGAAAGAACATTTTATTTTATAATGAAAGCGACGAGAATAAACTGAACAAACAATGTAAACAGGAATGAAAAGTGAAGGGGTACGAACTACCAGTGCAGCATGTGGTACAACTATTGCATGCTACAAATGCCAAGTCGTGCTAATCATCTTGCATATTCTTGTGGGGCTCTCCCCTCTTATCAGTTATCTACAACTTTTTCTGTACACAGCTTCTAATATGTTATTATGTGGGCTTAATGTTAAAAGTTAACATGGATTGGTCAACGACATTGAGGGTGGACTGGATGGAAGAAATACAGGCGTAAATCTTTCCTAATTTATGCAGGAATTAAAGCTTCAAATCTACTGATCTCTCTCATATGGGAAAGCCTTTATTGCAGTTGCTCTGCTTTACCATTTGGTGCATGAACTTACTGAGACTTCACTTAATTGCAAATTGTAAAAGTTAGCTCATATGATTTCATTGTACAGTGACAGTAGGATGTTTATCATCCCAAAGTAGCTATTTAATTGCATTTTGCTAGAGGAGCATTCTAGAGTGAGAATAGGATGTTTAACCAGCAAGAAAAGTAAGTAGTTGTATGTCCTCAATATTTAACCTATCTCAAACTCAAAAAGTCTGCATAATAATGCATTTTTCACCATATTATCATTTTTCCACTTGGCGACATCTATTACTATGTTCTGAGCTAGTAATGGCATGCTCTGCTTCTCCAGACTAATGCTATTTTGTAGCATGGGGGACCTGTCAACATGTGAATATTATATTTTGCAGCATTTACCTAAAACCAATGACTGTCCTTGTTCAGCTAGAGAAAGACTAAATGTATGTAAACTGACAGTATCATGGTAATTAGACTATGAAGCAAGATGTGATGTGTCCTCAAGTTACCTCCACTCTGTAACAGTGAAAGCTCATTATTTCTCATCGTGGAGTTTGAGATCTTACTTGTACATGAAATAGTCGCACATGCATCTGCTCCTCTTCCACTTTACTAGAGGCCTCTTTCTATTTGGTGCAAGTAAGGCACATTTCTTCTACTTGGTGTGGTTCTTATTTTTAATAATGTGCTGGCTTCTATTCCGGGTGTTTTTTCTGTTACTTGATTGAATTTATCCTCTTAACTTCGTTTACTTCGTTGAGAATTTCTTAGTATGTGGTGTACATGATGATCTTGTATGGTCTTGAGATGTGATTTAATGTGTCAAGCATCATGATTGTGTAAATTATAAGTCAGTCAAAATGGCATTTTCTTATAAATGCATATACTCAATACTTGTTTGAACAACTTCCCTGGCACCCTAGCCTCCCAGGAAAAACCCCCTTTCCATTGAATACGAGCACACCGATCTTCCTTCTGGTTTTTCAATCTACTAATCAGTGGTAGTGTGAAATCAGAACACAATTTGTAGTTTTTCCCATATTTTAAAATAAATTTGATCTCTTTTTGTCTCTTTTCTTATATTATATAACCATTATACAGTTCAAGAACTCATGAAGTTCAGTTCTTTTGTACCAGAAAAAATGATAGTGGAGTAGTTTATGTTGTAAATTTTGGAGCTTGAATTATAAACTTAGAACCATAAATTGTGGATATCAGAGTAGTTTATACGATCATAAGAAAGACTGGAATTTTCCCTCGCTGCAGAAGTTAACTTTATCTTTGGAGTTCTCAATTGGGGACCCATAGTAGGAACACATTGGAAATTTGTAGCACATTGGAAAAGGTTAACAAAAGTGAAGTAGAATTGAGTTTTGAGCTTTACTTGTGGGCTACTCTTGAATTTCCTCCATAAGAGAAGGAGGATGTCTAATCATTAAAGGAATACCTATTATAAGAAGTCTATTATTTGGGCTATGCCTTGTAGTTTATGATTTTGCATTCACCAACTTGCTTTTAAGTGGATAAAGAAGCCTAATGCTTAGCATCATGCATACTATATTCCCTAGACTACAGATTAGCCTTACTTTATGAATGAGTTTATATTTTTTAACATGATTTCATAGGCCCTACTGTTTTTTCATGCTCCCTTGCAATCATTTTGTATCACAGGTCCTACTTGCAAATTTTATTATTTGTGTTAATGGAAAAAAGCAAACCTAAACTATCACATTTTTGCGAGTTTCATACCTCAACTATCAATTCTAACACCCCAACTTGGCAACGAATATGTTGTTCAATTCACACCGGCAGGGTGGTTGAGGTGTGTGCTTTGCAAGTTTTGTAGTTTCTTCACACAACAAAACAAAGGTATGATAGTATTCTAGAATCTATAATATATTTTCACTCTCTTTGTATTAAAGCGCACCTTGGTACTGAATTGACATATACTTTGGAACAAATAATTTGGTCAATTCAATATCGAGGTGTTTTTTAATACAAGGAGAGTGATAGTTTAGGTAGGTTGAGATAATTGAGGTATGAAACTCGCGTAAAGGTGATAGTTTAAATATGTTTTTGTCCATCAACTCTTATTATTGTGTCATTTCTACATAATTGGCGTTTATGTTGTGTAGAGAAAAGTTCTGTTTTTTTATGTGAGTTTTGCATTTGCTTATTGATCTAATTCTGTATTAACCATATTAAATTCACCCTGCAAGTCTCAGATCAAATCTGATGTAGCCAACTAAGATGAGCTATCTAAAGTAACTGCCAATTATGGCAAAGAAAAGTTAAATCTGACTCACATTAAACTATAGGTTAAACCATATGCATTTTCTTCTAAGCTGTTCCGAATGAAGACCAATCTTGCTTATATTCCAGCCCATAGAGCTTTAGTTTAGTGGTAAGAGCGTCGCAAGTGATGTGTAGATTAGGCACAGGTCAGGGATGTGAACCCTGTGGCCTGGTATTTAACTGGACAAGAGTAGAAGGACAGGCCCATCTCCATCGAGTTTCTCGTTTACCTAAAATAAAATCTTATTTTTATTCCAATTGTGCAGGAGCTTTTTCATCTTCCATGATGAGTCCAAGTGGTTCCTACAACATAATGTCTTCCCTTTGTTTCATCAACTTGATATATAGCAGCCATTTCACTAGTACACCACCACCAAGCTTTTCCAGATACTTGAAATCAACTAGTACATAGGACCTGGCACCTAGCATGTGAAAACAATCAAAAGTTCTCACCTTTTTTAGCAACTTTTTCTGTTTCTTCAATCTTCTTTTAATGGTGTTTATAATTGTAGAGAAACGTGATTACTTATCTTCTCAACCACATCTTAAAAAGCATGACACCTAACACAAATCTTTAAAGAAAATCAAGAATATCTAATTAACATCATGATCACAAGTTTTTTATGAGCTAAAAGAATGTCTCTTATATCCTTAGTGATCTTCACAGGTTCATTAATCTTGAGACACAATCATGATTAGTGAAACCCCACTTTCTAATTGCATAAATTATTTTCCCTTAAACATCTCTCCTTCAAATCATACATCTGTGCTCAAAGAATGCAGAACTCTAAGGCGGCAGTGGCAGCAGCAGCTAAGAAGCAGAAGCTTAAGGGATGCAGTGCCTTGTGTTGTAGCTGTAGGCTGAGTGTTTCGTCGTCTTCAGAAGAAGCTGAAAGTTCCAGTTCTAGTAGATATCCGACTATTTCGAGCCTAACACATGCTATGGTTCAAGAGAGGTTAGACAAGATGATCAGAGAAAGAGAAGAGGCGAAAAACGAAGAGATGAGGAGAAGGAGGAGGAGGGCGGAGCGAGATGAGAAGACAAAGTTTATAGTGATGATAGCTATGGAGAAATCATCTTATGATCCAAGAGAGGATTTTAGGGAGTCAATTGAACAGATGATAATTGCAAATAGGATTTGTGATCCTAAAGATTTAAGGAGACTTTTGAATTATTATGTTTCTATGAATGCTGAGGAATATCGTGGTGTTATACTTGAAGTGTTCCATCAAGTTTGCACAACTTTCTTCTTATCATGTAAACAACCTTCATCTCAAGTATAAAATTTCTATCAATTCAAAGTTCATGCACCACAATAGCCACGGATCTTATTAGTAGCTCAGCTGGTTGGTCGGTTGCCTGAACTTTCACGTTCACTTAGTTGGTAAGGGTTTGACTCTACCTTGTAATCCCCTTCCACATTTTAGATGTACTAATTTTAATTTTTTTTTTTATAGAAGTGCACAAATAGCCAATTTTGGCACATAATTTATGAGAATGGCCTTGGAGGTAGCTAGTATCTTCACTATTTTTAGATAGTACATGAACGATTTGGGCTGAATTTGAATAGCGCAAATCAATTAATAAATCATTTAATCAACCTACCTAAAATTAGTTGGGCTGAGTCATAGTATATTGGGTTGCATAATTGCACTTCATGCCAAAGATGGAACATCCAACACCCAAATACAATTTGAAAAAAAATGTTGAAAACAACACCATTCATCACCACAATTGAAACCAATTAGGTATTCGTAACATCTCTTGTGATGCTAGATTAATGGTTCTACTATGATTGCAACACAAAAAAAAAAAGATTTGAGTTCATCTGATAGACAAAATGGGAACTAACACATCCTCCCTCATACACCAACTAATAGAAATTCCCCAAAACTTCCCTCTAGGAGTGATATAGACATCAGTCTACAAAATGCATAAACTTGCTAAGCTGGTTCTCAACTTATCACTGAATGTTTGAGGACTTGTTAAGGATAACACCTTCATATTTGACCTGGAACCACTTCATTGAATCCTCCTTTGTGACCCTGTGCTGGATCCCGACACGAGACTTGCACCTGCGGCGACGAGCAACACGGTATCCAGGACGCTCCAAGACAACATAGAAATCCATACCATAAATACCAGTTGAAGGGTCATACCTGTAAAACAGAGAAGAAAAAAACAAAATGACTCAACTTCAGAACGAAGAAGATAACAGTTTATATATGTGTACCGGATTCATAACCTATCGCGGTTGATATGGTAAGATGCAGCAAACATAAGAAGCAATAGAACATTTATAAAAGAGAAATATTTGTAAAATCATTTCCTTAAACTATGCATACTAAGTTTTATGCAGTTTCAACGAAACTCAAACATAGTTTTCTTGTTATGCATTCAAAAAGATAGACCAATAACAAACCACCACCTAAGTAAAATAAAGCTAGCTAGCTAATTATGTAGATCGTGAAACCTAAGCACAGAAAGTACTAGATGACAATCTGCTTACTTAATTCCAAGATCAATGTGCTCCTGAATACCAAACCCAAAGCAGCCGGTTTCACTGAAGTTCCTTCTCAACAACTCATATTCCTTAACTTTCAGTCCACTCTCAAGCAGCTGCATAGCTTTCTCACCTCTGACAGTCACGTAGCAAGCTATTTTTTCATTACGCCTGATACCAAAGGACCGCACAGTATACCTTGCTGTTGATGAGAACCACACAAGGATGTAAGAAACTAATTAATGTCCACGGACAAAACTGAGATAAAGACAAAGCTAGTTGAATAAATGTCCACAAGCAAAGTAATCGAGCAAATCACTGGGTTGTTAATTCACCAGCCAATTATACGCATCAATGTATGAACAGAAACAGGAAGCAAGTTAGGTAACCATAAGTCGTGGATAACATGGTTATTAAGTTTTGACAATCTGGACAAGTTAGTAACACTAGCTTGAATAAATATCTTGCAAAAATACTTGTACATCTACATTGGCTAGGAAAAACTACTACTAAAGGGAACAAATCCAGTACAATCACAAGAACCTGCAATAAACACTGCTTATTGCTTGAGGTTTTCGTTCATCAAAAAGAAGTCACTTTTAACAAGAATGAGAGTTACTCCCTGTAAACTCACTTTTGAACTGTTTTAATAAGTCAATCAATAAATGACACCTTAATCCCAAAACTAAATCGAGCCAGCTATACAATCCTTCTGTATTGACCCAGCATTTTTCAGTGCTGAACTGAACATGCAACTGACAAAAATTAAGCTATTTTAAAAGTCAGCCAGACGAGCAATATTGTTAACCAATAACCACAAGTCCACAAACACACAGCTTATGCATAGGCATTGATAAATGATTAGTGCGCATATCTAATGATATTTCCAGATTAGACAATGTCCTAACTCCTATATTAGGTCTCCGGTTCAAATGTGATTTCTTCCTATTTGTTCTAGCCTTGGAGGAGAGAACATAGTTACGTGGTGCATGTTGATGGTGGGAGATATCGGGGAATTAGTCGAGGGGCGTTCAAACTGAGTATCTGATATTAAAATGCATAGAAGATTCAAAAATTTACCTTTGGAGAAAACAGGTGATTGGCCGCTAAGTTGCTCCAAGACCTTAAGTATCAAAAAACGAAACTTAGTTCAACATCAAAACAAAGGAAAATAACAAATTCATGACATTTTGTATTTAAAAAAAAAAAGTTTTACCTTTGCTGCTCTTGTAAGCCGATCTCCACTCTCACCGACGGAGATATTGAGGACAAGCTTCTGAACCTTGATGTCCCTCATGGGGTTGCTCAATTTCTTCTCTGAAGCCTGCTCTCATTATAACACAACAAGAAATTAGACGCCATTGGCGTATACAGTAAGAAAATAAGAAATACTGACGGAACGGGAATTGCAGAGCAATACCATTGCTGGACGAAATTGCAGCAGCAGCAGCAAGTGAGTTGAAGAATACTGAGCCTAATGAAGAAGATGATGGAAAAACCCTAATGCTATCTAACTTATGCGATTATGGGCCGTAGTTGGGTCGGGTTTGACCCATTTGTTTACTTTCGCAACATCAACAATATATTCGGTGTAATCGGCCACTTAGACATTTTTATCTTGTTTTATATGGTTATAAACATTTGCTATATAAAATAAATATTTTTTTTTGCGAGATGTAAATTTATATTTTTATACCATAATATCTTACAAATCATATTTTGTATCAAAAATTCAACTTATTTATATAACAAATTGTGCAATCAAATAAGTGTAATATCATAAATGTGATTTGAAAAGATAATATGACTTTTACATCATATCATAAAAATAAAAAAATTATTTCTCATAACATCGTCCGCTCAACTAAACTAAAGCATACATATTGTTTACTTTTGCTAACTGAATTCAGTTTATATTGTAGCCTTTTGCTTCAATTTATGTGGCATCAAATACATTTTGTCTTAAATATTAGGTATTTGTGCTTCCTGCATGATTTATCATCAACTAGTTATCAACACATATCTCAACACTTGATTAGACCAAGTATTTGTATATAATTATTAAAAAACGCGTGATAATTTAATTTGCTCATAAAATTTTGTATGCGTGGCTACTGACTCAATACTTTTAAGGCATATTTTGATAAATAGTTAATGATTATTTAGATAAAAAATACAAACACCTAATGATTTTAATATAAAAAATGGATATATTTAGAAATCACATAGTTTCAATATGAAATTATAATATATCGCTCTTTAGTTAATAATTACATTAATCACTTTAAAAGTAACAAAAATCGGATACATATGTAGAGTATCTCGAATACATTATAACATAGATCGGATACACAATATGTAACTCAGAAGTGTATAATTCGTTGGCCTTTTTCTCTGCAATATTTGAAGTAAAATGTTTTTAAATTGTATAATTAAGTGTATAACACGAAGATATACATTTTTGCACGTGTATATACAATTTTCTCTCGCTTTATACAAAACAGAAACAGGATTATACACTTCTGTGTATAAAGCGAGAGAGGCGAGCGAGAATGGAGAGTGGCAAGCGAGATTTTTGGGAGAGAGACGCTGGCAAATTTTAGCTAATGTTTGCTATGGAGCACAATTAAATCAAACCCTAGCTATTCCATTTAATTTAGATTATTAGTTTGCTATTATATACAATTTCCCTACTTTAAAGTTCAAATGTATTTTGACCATTACATAAATACTTTTTTTTACACACTTAAGTGGGTTAGTTTGGTAAACAATACGAGCTGAGAGAGAGAGCCCAAATGGACAATAACGCGGCCCAGCCCAAAAATGAAAAATGCTTACCATCATTACCCGAATTCAGAAACAGAAATCCACTGGTACTCCGTCGTATTGAAGTTTTCCGGTGGTGGTGTTGCTACCGGCAGAGTATTATTGTATATCCGAGGTGATTAACTGTTCGCTCATCTATCGATAATTAATTTTGTGAAGGTTAATGTTGTTTTACATTATTTTCATTTTGATTGTTGGCTCTAATCTTTTCCTTTTTTTTTCTCGAAAATTACTAGATTTCATTTTTTCCGGCAAATCATTGATGAATTGTATTGTTACTTCTAATTATATATCCTTCAATGGTTGTTAATTCATTTTTGTTTGTAATTGCTTGTTTGTTCCTCGCTTTGTACAGAACGGACAATGGTTGAAAGGCTCATTTCGTTACTTGTGTTAGCTAATAATAGTAATGCAAAAGTTGTTATTCTTATCAAAATACAAGAAAAATCACAGCTTTTATAATTCAAAACTACATTGTTGCTTTCTCCAAGTTTTGAATTTTTAAATAATTTGGCACTGTTTACATACAAATGGACGATAAACTAATGCAATTGAGAAAAAGAAAGCACCACACTTGTGGTTTACTTGGAGCAGCACCAGTTTGGTATTGTAAGTGGATTAATATATAGGTAGATTGAGTTATAATTATCCTTGCTTATGTTGCTCCGACTATCCAATAATGTGGTTGCACCCTTGTTGGATCCTTCAAAAGTGCATTATTTGGAAGGATCCGACATGCACTCGTTGGCATTTTTGAAGAGTCGGAGCAAAGTAGAATTCCTTGCTGATAATACATATGATTATTTTTTTCATCAATGAAAACCTTTAGTTCTGTGCCAATAGATGATTTCGTGTTTTGTGTTTTCATTTTGATGGATTTTAAGAACTTATATAACTCCTAACAATTTACCAAGAAGAACAGATAGGGCTGCCTTTCATACAATGATTTGGTATTGCACTGTGCATGTCCATCTATGGATTTTGAAGTTTTGAACTGAAAAATACTACTCTTTTGTATTTCCAAAGGGAAGAGTTGATATTTTTGAAAAGGATTTGCCTGATAGTTTGCTAAAAAATGATTCAGGTCTCAGGTCTAAACTCTTGGATTAGATGTGGAGTATCAAAGGTAGACTTTCAACAAGGTTAATGAATATTTGCGTAGCATCTCTTTGTAAAGCGAAACAATTGGAGAAAGCTGAAGTTGTAATAGTTGATGGCATAAGAATTGGAGTACAACCAGATGTGGTCACTTATAATACACTGATTACCGCATATTGTCGCTTTGTTGGCATTGATGCAGGTTATTCCGTCCTTTATAGGATGAAAGAGGCTGGAATTTATCCTGATACTATTACATATAACTCTTTAATAGCTGGAGCTACCAGATATTGCATGATATCTCGATGTTTCGATCTGTTTGAAGAAATGCTTGAGATGAGTATTCTTCCTGATATTTGGAGTTACAATACATTAATGCATTGCTTCTTTAAATTGAGAAAGCCAGATGAAGCATACAGGGTTTTTCAGGATATTCTTTTGAAAAATATTTCTGTTCATCCAGCAACATTCAATATATTAATTAATGGTCTTTGTATGAATGGATATACAGAGAATGCCTTAATGTTATTTAGGAGTATAAAACGTCATGGATTTATTCCCCAATTAGCAACTTACAACATTCTTATTCATGGACTGTGCAAGTCAGGACGGGGTAAAACTGCAAGAGAATTTCTCAACGAGCTGGTAGAATCAGGTCATATCCCCAATGCCATCACTTATACGACAGTAATGAAATGCTGCTTCAAATGTGAACAATTTGAAGAAGGCCTTAAGATCTTTGCAGAGATGAGAAGGAAAGGATATACATATGATGCCTTCGCTTACTGTACAGTTGCAAGTATGTTACTTAAAACTGGGAAGATGAATGAGGCCAACGAGTACCTGGGCTATATAATTACAAATGGTTTTGACCTTGATATGGTGTCTTTTAATACCATTGTTAATCTATATTGTAAGGAAGGTCAGCTGGATAATGCTTATAAATTGTTACACGAGGCAGAAAAAAAAGGGTTGGAGTCTGACAAGTACACCCACACTATCTTTATTGATGGCTTGTGCAGGACTGGTAATTTCAAGGAGGCCCAGCAACATTTGGACTATATGAGTATGATGGGTTTTGATTCTAACTTGGTTGCTTTGAATTCTTTTATTAACGGGTTGTGTAAAGCTGGTCACCTTGATCATGCTCTACGGATGTTTGAATCAATGGATGCCAAAGATTCTATTACTTACTCCACTATGGTGCATAGTCTTTGCAATGCCAGGAGATTCCGTGCAGCATCTAAGCTATTACTATCGTGTATAAGAGGCGGCATGAGAATTCTTAAATCAGATAAACGTGGTGTTATTGATGGCCTTCGTGGTTCTGGATATTCGCAAGAAGCAAAGAAGATCCAGTCTAAAATTCGATTGGCTAAGATACTGCAAAATTAATTAGGGATGATGTTCAACTTTGCCACCCAAGTGTTAATCTTGTTTAATTGCCTAAGGTTTTGCATTGTAAGTCTTTATGGAAGCTTTAAAACCTCAGGGATCATGCAACTGAGTATACAACCTACATTACCCAATTTTAAGTCAAGTTCTTAATCCTCTTGTAAGAGGCAAACACATGACACTGCTGTGAAGAGGTTGTGAATTCTATACCTTTCCTCGTCCAAAAGATAGTGATGACATGCTGTTGAAACTGTGAAAAGTTATTACAACAATAACAACAACATATACCTAATGGGGTCCGGGCAGGGTAGAGTGTATGCAAACCTTACCCCTACCTCATGGAGGTAGAGAGGAGGTTTCCGGAAGACCCTCGGATCAAGACTTATTATGCGGAAGTAAATGCATTCTTTATTACAGATGCGAAACAATTAGGTGGGCCAAAACTGTAAGTCATTTATACTTCCAGATAATCTCTGACCACTTTTTCTTTTGTAATGTTTAGTATTGAATTTCAAAGGTAGATAGTAGAGTACAATCAGTTCAATTTAGGACTGCTCTTTTCTGCAGCATGTCATTCTGGGCTTTGAATCTGAAATCATTAAGCTGTCGTTTTTGGCTGAAGAAAAATCAAAGGAGAGGATTGTACTGCTCTTTTTCCCCGAGTAGTTAGAAATAAAGTGTTCTTACTTATTTGAGCCAGATTTATCTTTTCTGCTCTTTGAAGTTGTTTAAGATGTGTTGACTATAGCCAGTTCCTTTTTCAGGATCTTTTAAATGACCACAATTATTGGTTGCTATCAAATTTATTGATAATTGATGTTGTGGTATGCATATGATTACTTGCAGACTTTAATGCGGTTGCGCTATGGGTTACTACTTGAACAGAAGTTTGCCTATTGAAGCTTGAAGTTGTAAGTTCCCTACATCTTCATTTTCCGAATTGATCTTCATACCGGTTTCAGTTATGAATTTTTTCCTTGTCTGTCTCTATGACAGGGGACTGAGCAATTCAAAGATTTGGGACAAGTAAGATAGCTTCCAAAGCTTCTTCTATCAATTGCCATGAACTTAGTATGGTGAGTTTAAATTTATATTTTCTTTCTCGTTCACTTAGTTGAGCTTTCCTTGGTAGGAAAAGAAAGGACATTTATTTCTCTCAGATTTTGTTACTATATAGTAATTCTCCTTGACACCTGACATTTTGTGAATTTTCTCGGTAAGATAGCACTTTGCTATCTTGATTTGAGAAACTTATACACCTTGGAGTAAGCAAGTGTACAAGTAGAAGTTACAATTTTTTTCCATATCAGGAAAGGAATTAGCAGCTAAATACAGTTAAAAGGGTCAGGTGTAATTTCCGCCTTCTTTTGTATTGCAATTTGCATGTCCTTTCCAAGCCAATGACTGAGTTTAGTAGTATTATATCAAAGCTTTTACATCCACTTACTCTCTAAGTTGATTCTTACATGCAACTTTGTCCTTAAATTTGCAAGAATGACAGTATTTGAGATTGAAAAGATTCAATAACACCAGGAAAGCCCAAGGCTTTAAGAAAAAGTAGTGGGTTGGATCCACTTCAGTCACATTCCGTAGCAGCTTGCTGGCGTCCTTTCAGGTCAGTAACTCCTGCAATAGGCAGCTAGGTTACGTGAAACTTATTTTTTGGTTTTCCTGTCCTAATTGAAGGTGAGTGGAAAGTTTACGCTAATATGTCTTTTAAAAGCGTAGTATTACTTGTTGGAATATTAAGGGATAAAAGCAATAAAAAAAACACATTTCTATCTTCTTTGGCTAATTGCATCACTCTAGACTTGATATACCCGGAAAAGGTGTCTCTTGCGCAACTAAGTGCAGTATCCCTTCTCTCTTTCATCTACCTTTTACCTTTTGATATTCTGTGTATGGTTTCACACTTTTGGTCATTCTCTGCTAAGCTTAAGTATAGAAAAGGTTTGGAAAAACACCTATCATTGGTTCTTTATATGCCCCACATTTAGGGTTTTCGGTAATTTTGAAGGTTCGGAAGTAATTTTGGTTCTTTATATCATTGGTTCTTTATATGCCAGCTGTTAAATCAAAGGCCTAAAGCCCAAAACATTAGTTAATTGGCTAATATTTCCATGTATATTTTCTTTGTTCTGTTTCACTTCCATGATCCTTTGCCTCTTAAGGTCCATGATCCTTTACCTCTTACGCTGCCTTTTTCAATATATGGTTCACATTGTATCAAGCTGAATAGGCTTCTGAAGTCCTTAAACTCTTCCTGTCATTGTCTATATGAAATCGTGGATCTTAGGTTCAACTATTTACTGTTTGTGATTCTATTCCTGATATTGCCTTCTGCTCGTCTTTCCTTGAGTTTTCTTTTAATATGCTTGGATTAGATTCTTAGTATAAACTGTCCCTGTTTAGTACACAAGAAAAGATGGCAGGAGGAGACATACGGCCGACTCATCTTTTTATCCTTTCTTTAGTGGTGAGGTGAGGAGTTATCAAGCTGATGCATCATCTCATCTTGTCTTTGGATGCAGAATGATCGTTAGAATGAGTCATTCTAAGGCCATTTTTATATCTAAATGGAAGGGATTATTGGTATTAATCATAGAGAAATTCATCCGAGGATGACTTAACTGAGATGACTCATCCTATCAGGCACAAATCAAACATGCACTTTGAGGTGGCAATTTGTGACCTGGGAACTTTGTGCTCTCTTTTAGGTACTCTCTGTTAAAATGTGTTCCACCATTCCTCGTGAGTTTAATTAATTTGCCTCTTATCATGCTTTTGCCAGTTCTAATAGACTCCTCTGAATCCAAGTGAAACCTAAGAGCTGTCAATGAAGCAGATTAAACAAATGAAGAGAGATGCTAGACTCCAGCCAGACCAAGAGGTGAGCTTCATTGTCGAAAATCTCAAGTTGCTTACAGCACTGGCTCAACCAAACTTCAGACCACAAATAGATCTTTTAGTTACAAAATCATATGATAGTTACTATTTTTCTCTTTTTTTGGAAAAAAAGAAAGAAAGAGGACGAATCATAATCTCCCTTTTTATGTATTAAACTTCTATGATATGGTTTTTATCATTTTCCTGTTAGCCTCGGTGTCATCGCTTTTAGATGCAAAAGTTCGTCCTATTTTAGCACTAAAACTTCCATGATATACTGCTTAGTTGTTTCTCTGGTTTAGCCTTGTCATCATTTACTTTTAGATGAAAAAAAGTTCTCTCTCCCTTAACACCATGACAGTGCTCAATAACTTGTGCTGCATCAACTTATTCTTTATAGGAAAAATTATGCAATTCATATATATGAATTGTTGCGGAAGGTGCATCAAGTTGGCTGTGTTGAAAATGACTGGAAGATTTCTGCCCATAATATATCGATGTGAATGACCACATCATGAGATTTGACTTTTGTCATACCAAAAACAGCTGTGAAACATTTCATTTGGTATGGCAAAATGAGTATAATTGACTAACAGTATTGTTCTATGTATTACAACATGAACAGAGAAATTTGAGAGTGTATTTTTGTTATGGCAAATTAAGTCGGAAGAACCATGGGAGAGTAAAGGCAACGACGAAGCAAGCAAGCAGGAAATTACAGCAGGATTGTTGACATCTCCATCTACAATCATCGCGTGTTGCAGCCGAGGAACTGGTTATATATGAACTTCTTCTGGCTTCTACTGCCCTTTGGTTCCATTCTATCACCATTATTCTGTTCTGCCTTTCTGCTAATGTTCTTGTTTCCACATTTTTTGCTGTCTTCCCACATATTTCACATGATCTGTAAAATCACAAGATAACACTGTTACATTCCTCACTATTCAATATGAATTCACTCAGTTTTAAAGGTCGGTTTTATGAATTCTCAGTGTTCACTTAGATGTCCCCGTCAGTATATATAAGTTAAATCGTATGCAAAGTATGAAGAACTTCTGAAATATAGAATGGTGTTACCTGTTGCCTCTCTGATTGAACCATGCTTCAGCACAATGGCGATGACAAACACCAAGTTCACCTTTACAATCACAACCAAGCTGCAAAATCTCTATAGTTTCATCATTCAAATGACATATTCGACATACAATTTCTATTACTTGATTTTCATCAATACACTCTGTTTTTTTATCAATATCTATTACAACTTCAGCAGTTTTCTCCGTTTTTTCTCCACATTTAGTATCTAAATTGTTGCTCTCTTTAACTTCTTCGTGTGTTATCTCAGTTTCTTGAATTTCTGGATTATTTGAAAACTCCTCTGTTTTCGAGATTTCACTGTTTGCTGCAAATTCCTGCATAACTTGTAATTACTAATTTGTTTAGAGAAGAAATCTATCTTAAAAGGGAAATAAAGGAACAGAGAATAAAGAAAATGAATGGAAAAAGCATATCTTCTTTACAAAATGACGAACATACTTTGCTTCAAGTCGTTCTTTAGTATACAGGAAGCTTTATTTTAGTGGAGACTTTGTATCGATAGAATGTTTTGGTCGAACTTTTAAAATTTGCTTATTTTCAATTTTTTCAAAAAAATATTTATTTTTCGGAAGCAAGTTGTATTTGATTAATTAATTTAACATTGTTTTATAATGTTAGAGCAACAATTTTGTAATTGATCAAAATTTCAAATACCCAGAAAAAATTTAATATTTCTTTAGATCTTTTTATTTTTTTTAAGAAAATAAATATATTTTCATTTTACAATTCATATTTGATTAGTAAACTCGTCAATCCTCATTGATAGCAATTATAATTTAGTGAAGTAAAGTCTGTTCCAAATGCTTGATTGATTTGATCATACACTTGTTCTTCTCTATTTTTGAGAGAAGATAAGAGCACAAGCTATACTTAGTAATATACAAAAACATTTTTGTATCTCTTTTTTTTTTGTTCAAGGATACAATGAATTTGGTGAATTTCTAGGATTTTTTTAATTAAAAAAACCATTAATATAATCGGGAAAATTATGCGGATAAATAATAATATATTAGTTAATTAGCTAACATGGGTATAGTTCGAATAATTATCACTCGCAAGTCGCAACCTCTTTTTAATTGTAATTACGTGCGATTCTCTTCCTCTCTCGTCTCTCTCCTCTCTTACACATATACAAATACAAATACAAGGTATACATATACTGACATACATATAAAATTATATGACAGATATACAAATAAAATTTGAATCTCTTCTTCCATTTTCGATCTCGTTCGCCTCTCTCCCTCCTCTATAAATATTATTGAAATTAGTTATTTCAAAATAAATAATAAAATGACAAAAATACCCTCTTGAGATCCTATTCTACTAAGAGTTGATATTTTGACAAGTCAATTTCTTTTTAGTAGAACAAATCAAATCTTCAATTCAATATGTAATTGGAAGCGCAATACAATATATAGGATAATTATTACGATTTCTTTCGATCTGAATTATTTTGTCATAATAAACTATGTTATCTCACTTAACAGTCATAATTATACCTTATTAAATTTTAAATTCCACATTAAACACTTTATTTGACTTCCCAAATTTATTTGAAATACAAGAATCAATCAACTATATTATATTATTGAGTGTTTAGTTAATTGATCAATAATGTTTTTAGATTATTGTATAACTTATTTCATAGGTAGGATATAAAAATCCACTAGAAATATTTAAACAATAAACAATTATATGCTTCATTAAATATTATTATCACATGAAGTTAAAGGTTATTTAAATCATTTAAGGTGGCGGTATCGCATAGAATTAATTAGGGTGTGTGAAAATTGATCCGAACATTACAGTCACATTGATTTGCGAGAGATGAAATTCAGATGAACCTCTTGTGATATTTTATCACCTTTTGAAACTCCCCAAAATCACAACCTTTCGTGATAATCAAAGGCTTAACAATGTTATTTTTGGGTGTCTTCTGTCCCTTCTATTCCTTATTGATAAAATGCAATTGCTAATTAACTGATTAGGGATAATATTTTACTAATTTATCTACCCTTTAGGGGTCATAATAATTGTTGAACTTATGCTTTATTTTAAGAGCCAAATAAGAATTTTGATTATGAATTTAATTCAAGTACTTTTGGACGCATATTTCTTTATATAATTTTTATGTAGTTTTGATATTTTTTTAAAATAAAATATCTAAATTCATTTTTAACGATAAAATAACTTTAATTTTTAAAAGAGAAACTCAAAAGTTCTAGTCATCTATGATTAGGAACCTAAGATGAAATATTACGGTAACTCAAATAATAATTAATTAATATAATAAAATTAAATTTAAATATGAGTTGCACACTAATTTAGGAAAATAAGAAAATTAATCGATTAATTAACAAAAGAAATATCTATAAAACTAATAGATTAAGTAAGGGTTCAAGGGATTCCGATGGAAAGATAGTAAACGCCCTTCAAAATCTACATGTAAATTCTCGATAAATTCATTTTTTCAAATTGAGGAGAAGATAAAAACAATATGCAAGTGTAATAAACATGTGATATATACAAATAATAAAATAAAAGAATAATATAAAAAAACGATCTAAGATTTCCTAACGTCAATAACATACACAAAAATGACTATATTAATCAAACTTCATTCATATAGCTTCCTTGGAAATCAACTCAAAGGTACATGTAAATACACTTAAAATTGACGATAATTTTCTTCATCAGCTAATTATAATAATATATGAACTTAAACTAAATTTTCGTTATTTAAAACGAGGAGGCCTTTAAACGACTCAAATTTCTCCTTTCGTACGCAATTTGAACATCTTTTTCCCAGTTCTAGTTGAATTTGATCTTTTAAGATCATCTTTGTAGAATAAGTTTGTTGTGATTTGTCTTTTAAAAAAAACATAATACATAAATATCTCCTTTTACTTGGCTTGAAATTACATTTATGCCTTCAACTTTGGGTGTGCACAAGTAAACACTTAAATTTGTATAAAATTGAACAAATAGACACACATATCTTACATGTCATCCTACATGTCATTTTTATCCTACGAGATGTCCTACATGTATTTTGTCATATAGGACTCATGTATTTATTTATTTAAAAGTTGGATAGTTAAAGTGTACGTTTGTACAATATGAAAGTTGAAGGTCAAAATTAAAATTTAAAGCTAAATTTAGAATCTAATATATGTATTATGCGTAAAAAAAAAAAAACTATCTTTGATCTAACATAATGCAGTAACCAAATTTGCACAAAATAGCTGGATTTTTTTTAAAAAAAATAATGCAAATCAATGTTAACCAAGATACTTCCATTTTTATTTTACCTCTCGAAAAGCGCAACGCTGTGGAATTATTTTGATATGTCATCTGTTTTTTCTTTGGAATTATTTTAATTTTATCTTTTACCTTTTAATTGTGGGATTCAAATTGTTTTTTGTTCTGAATTGTGATTCTTCTTTTTTCTCTCAGTTTTATTCCACCAAGGTTTTATTTTGAACAAGGAAAAAAGATTTCCTTTAATTCGTAAAAATATTATTTTTAATCATTAAATAACTAGATAAGATATTAATAGTTAAATTTAAATAATAAAATAATGCTAGTGATACAAATTTTAGCAGATTGGGCAGATTAACCACTTTTTGAATTTATTTAAGATAAATATAAATTCTTGTTTCTATTTACTTCTAATTATTTTTTAAATTAAAATAAATATTAGTAAATTTAGATTTAATAACTTTATCCTTTTTAATATTAATTTCTCCATATTAATTAATATTATATAAAAAATAACTCATTTAATAAATACTTTAAAAATAAATAAGTATAAATATGTGTTTTTTTATTCAATAAAGATCAAAGTCTTTATTCAAGGTGACCGTCATTTCACCAAATATTAATTCTTTTCTCCATTTCCAATTCACATAGATTTTTTTTCCATAATAACCCATCATTTTTCGTCTACAATTTCTTCAAATATAAAATAAAAATGAACTCCCCAATTCGATAAGAACTATCAGATTTTGTTCTAGTTAAACATTTTCACAAGCGAAGAAAAAATATAATCTACCGAAAAAGATAAATCGTTGAAAAATAGATCTAAACTTTCATATATAAGGGTAAAATTATCAAATCTAAAATAATAATATCTATTTTAAATAAATTCAAAGAATAATTACAAGAAAATAAATATAAATATAATATTGTAAAACCATAGAGAGTGAGTTTTATAAGGCGAAATTCGAAGTGAGCTGAAATTATCCCTAATTATAATACCCAATTTCCTTTGACTCTTTTGCCCCCTAACCTTTGAGCCAAAACAAAAAAGACTCTGTCAATAGTTTTAACGGTTTCGTCACAGCGTTACGCTTCTCGAGGCAAAAGCCATTAATAAACCATTCAGTCACACTGACGGCTCGCTCAGTCCACTACTACTCTTACGTCTCCTATTTATAAAGTCCCATCTCTATCAACCGCCTCTACAAACACGCCATTTTCCTCTCCTATTTGGCCATTTCTCTATATCCTCTCTCCGTTCCGGCCATGGCGATGCGTGCCGCTATTTCCGGTCGTCAACTAAAACTTAGCTCGTCGTCGTTCGGAGCGCGATCCCTGTCGTCGTGGTGGCGAAATGTTGAACCGGCTCCTAAAGATCCTATCCTCGGCGTAACTGAAGCTTTTCTCGCCGATCCTAGCCCTGACAAAGTCAATGTTGGCGTTGTAAGTTCTCTGCTCTGTGCTTTGATTTGATTAGCTTTATTTTCTACCTTGTTTTCTCAGTTTTTGTAATCATGGATTTAGCTTCTTAATTTGGGAATTGTGTATGCTTAGCTCTTGTTTTGTTTTGTGTGAGTTAAGATTAATTGAATAGAAGGTTAACTGCTGTAAATCTTATAGTTAAACACATAAGTTGATATATTAGTGTAAAATAATCATCCGTTAGCGGAAAATGATGCAGAGGATTCACACAGTGGATCTCAATTGATTTGGATTTGAAATTCCTGTGTGATCTTATTACTTATGAGCTCGATCTAATTAAGCAAAAACAAATGAGTTTGTTTTTGTTGTTGTGAATTTTAAGGGAGCTTACAGGGATGACAATGGAAAACCCGTGGTACTGGAGTGTGTTAGAGAAGCAGAGCGAAGGATAGCTGGTGGTTTCAATATGTGAGTGAATCTCACCATTTCTCTATTTTGTGAATTTGAATTTGTTGTTCACTTGAAAGGTCCTTTATTCATTATTTAAATTTGACTTCTGTTTTTAGTTATTAAAATTTTGTTAAAGTTTGAATGCATATATCATAGAAAAGTTATTGTAGGTGTATAGCAAAATGTAACAGTACAAATATTTGTCAAGTACTACAAAAGATATATGAATTTATTAAAATTTTTAGCAGCAGCACCATAATATTCATGTAAC